TTAAATTGTACTTCGTTCAGTTACGTATTGCTTTGGTAATAATAGAATTGACATTTGTTGTGCTAACTATTCTCCTCAATGCATCAGCATTTGTATTAATCTTTCCAGCTTTATAAATTATTTCATAGTCATGTATTCTTCAAAGTTTTATTCTAAAACGCGTCAAACGAGAACCAAGGTCTTTGATATTAAATATATAGGGTAGGGGTTTGTGATCTGTAACAATTTTAAAATCTTGTGTCAAAAATATATGGACGGAAATGTTTTACTGCCTAGACGATTGCAGTTAGCTCTTTTTCTGAAGTTGAATAATTTTGTTCTGCTTTATTTAAAGTTCTACTAGCAAACGCTATTGGACGATCATATTAATATACCCTACGATAGATAAAAAAAACTATTATAAAAAAAAAAATCTATTTATTTATAATAAAATTCTTTGGTAAAATCTAGGTATTGGAGAACAGGTGGAAAGGTTATACTATCTTTAAGAATTTGGAAAGAATTTTCGCATTTTATACCCCAATTAAAACAGAATCTTTTTTGTAATTCGGTTAAAGGTTTAGCAATTTTAGCAGAAAATTTTTGATAAATTTCCTATAATATCCTACAAACCCTAAAAAAGATTTTATATCTTTAGGATTTTTAGGTTGCGGAAAGTTTGTTATACATTGAATTTTTGATGGATCTGGTTTAATACCGTTTTCTGTAATAATGTGACCTGAGTATAAACATTCTTTTCGTAAAACTGACACTTCGAAGGTTGAAGTTTTGAATTATGTTGTCTAAATCTTTGAAAACTTCAATTAATAATCTATCGTTATATATTCATTTAAGTTGTTTGCATAAATTACTATATCATCTAAATAAATAAAGCATTTGTACCATTAGACCACTTAAAACTGTATTCATACAGGTCTTTGAAATGTGGCGGGGGCTCCTTTTAAACCGAAAGGCATTCTGTTATAAACGTAATGTCCTGTATTAGTGCTAAAAGCGGTTTTATTTTTATCTTTTTCGTCCATTTCTACCTGGTGAAATCCACTAGTAAGATCTAAGGTAGTAAAATAATGAGATTTTTCTAACTGGTCTAAAATTTCTGCTATATTAGGTTGAGGATATGCGTTTCCAATGGTAATTTCTTTTAACTTTCGAAAATCAACGCATGCTCTAAATTTAGGTGATAATGGGCCGCTTTTCTTAGGAACAACTAGTAAAAGACTATTCCAAGGACTGTCAGAAGCGGAAATTACCCCGACTTTTAACACATTTACTCAGTTTGTTCATTAGGTATTTCTTTATGTTTGAAGGGCAATCTATAAGGTTTTACGTTATTAGGACCTTTATTACTTTCTGTCAGTATAGTGTGTTTTATTGTGTTTGTTGTCTGTTGGTTTATCATAGCTAAATTAAAAATATCGTTAAAATCTCTACAAATATCTAATACTGAATTGGTTTCTTCTTCATTTAATTAATCTAGACCAATTAAATTTCTTTTCTTATTTTAGCAAAACAGTCGATAATGTCACTTAATTATATGTTTCTATAAATTCTTACTCATTAAAAGAAATAGGTTCGACATTCCCTCTAGGTGTATGGATAGTTTGAGCTTCATTAGAAATGTTTAATATGCTAACTAAACATTTATAGTCCTGGACTTTTGTTAGGCTTGACCCTAGATATAAATGTTCGGATAATTGATTTGAAACTACTATGCCTTCGGACGAAGATAAATTAGCTAGAGCAGGTACAATAATTTGACATCTCGCGGGAATTGGCCAGTTTGCTTCCTGACAGCAAAATTTTTAAAAAAAAAAATTGTCTTCAAAATTAATGACTCAGTCTTCGTAATTTATTTTTGGCTTTATACTTTTACAAAAAATCGCGTCCTAATAGTCCATCACTTTTAATCGGTATACTATCTGGCACAATGTGAAAGGGATGAGTTATTGCTTTGTTATTGTTTTAATTTAATTGGGATATGTTACAAACTCCTTTAGTAAATACAGGTTCTTTACTTATACCTTTTAATTCTATGATACAGAGTTTTATTTAATTTTAGATTATTTTGTAATGAATACATTCTTTCCAATAAGATATATCTGCCCCTGTATCTAATAAAAGATGTAGTGCTGTCTTTATATCTAAGAGAGAGTTTTAATTATCTCTAATTTATTTGGTAGCTATCGGAAAATAATACTGATTTATGCAGTATGTCAATTAAAGTTTTGCTCAATTTTAATTTTATTTTTTTATGCTCGGAGTAGTGTGTAATTCATAGAATAGCTATTATCTAATTTTAAGAAGCGCTTAATCGGCTGCTCGCGACAAAGGCTTCGCTCTCGTTTCCGAAAAATTTTGAGATGTGCTCAGTTCTGAAAATAATTATCTACTGAATTGATTAACGACTGAGAATTTATAGTTTGAATTTGTTGTGGTGATCTATTATTTGAACTTTTAAAATTGGTAGTACTGGTTTCATTATTGTAATTAGAAAATTTGAAGTTGTTGAGGTATCAGAACATTTTGCTATAGATTGAGGAACTTGTGAGTTATTTAAATTTCTTGGATTCTGGGGAATATCTATTATTTGAATTTGAACGAGGGATTATTACTGTTATAATTGTTTCCATAATTACGATTATAATTGCGCACGTCGTTGTTCTGATTAAAATTTTTGATTGTTGTAGTTTCGATTAATGAAACGTCCTTGATTATATTGTACTGTATTTACGTCTTGTCTATTTGAAAGATTATTATTGCTATTAAGGAATTTTGCAGTGGGCGTGTCTGATTATTACTAGGTACATTTCTATTATATGAGTTACTATTTTGTTCGTATTGCTTAAGCTGTCTACACTGTGATGTTAAATGATTATTTTAAAACAAAATAAACAGGAATTATTAGAAGAATGATTATTTAATTGTCTATTTCCACGCTCTACAAACCCTATATTTTTAAAATGCGAGTTTTAAACCTGTCATTATTCTCAAGTTCCATTTCAATTACCCCAATGATAAAGGCACACATCTAAATATGTGAGTATTTTCGGCAATAATACGCATTTGAATTTTTTTCATCGTTGAGTCCTTTTCTAGAAGTATTGACTAAAATGGGTTTAAAATTTTCTATTAAAACAGTAGCTTCGTTATTTGCATAATTTAGTGGCCGACAACATATTTATTAAAGAGAATTTGTAATCTATCGCGCCATTATTCTTTTTTTTACAGTTTCCCTAAAATGTTTCTTTATATTCATTATTTGTGTTAGAAAATGCGATGGTGGTTTTTTATCAGTAAAGTGCTCTAATAAAATCTTTTTAGTTCTTAATTTTAAGAGCTATTTTATATTGTGTGTTACCTCTTGTACCTTCCCTTTTAATTTGGTACCAAAATTAAATCTACTAGTAATTCTTTTTTATCCACTTTGACAATTTTTAATATTGGATCCACAATTTTTTAAGAAAAATTGGAGTGATTTTGCGTCACCCTGACCATCAAATGAATTTATTAAATTCAGGACATCAGTTGCGTCTTTACCTCCTGCCATTATTATATTTTATTAATGATTTATTACTTTGGTTTAAAATTATTATTTATTTTTATAGATGTATTTTTAGTTTGGAGAAAAAATATTTACAGATTTTAAGCAATATTTTTTTTTTTTTGTTATTTGCAGCTCAGAATTATTATTGTCTTAACTTAAATCCTAACTAATAAAATCAGAGAAAAACAGTAGCGTCTATTACAGTAAAACAAACACCCCCGTCATCATCTGGTGAAAAAAAAAGCTTCCCTGGAGACTTGCTGCCGCGTCTGGCGCTCCTTCAGTGTCCCCAATGTCTACGTCTCGTGTCAGGCTTCTTGCTGCTTCTTGGTGCACCTTCAAGAGCTGCCCGTTGCCTCTATCTTCTTCCAAAACTGGTAGGTTTTCTGCCGCGTCTGGCGCACCTTCAGGAAACCTTAGTGGTTTTACCGCTGCCTCCTGTCGTGATCCTGGATTGGACCACCGTCGTCACCAATCTTGTAGTCGATGCCACCAAATGTTGTAGTTCTCTATTTGACTCATATGGAGGTTTGGGGTTTGAGAGAATTTTAATACAAAATATAAATTTAGCAGTATTACGTCAATGAAAAATTTTTATGATATCCCAGTTCTGTGACCCGTGCTTTTTATAATGCCACCCTCGAAAATCCACGGGGCATTATCCATATTTCTTAATAATATTTTCAGTTAGGTTTGCAAAGGGACAAACGTGACCATTTCTTAAGTAAATGGAAACCAGACATCGCGTCTGAAAGTAAACGAATTACAAGGAAAACTAAAATGATACAACTATTTATGACTATTTCTTCCAAATTTCATCTTAAGGTGAAAATGGTTCTGTTTATTTTACATCACCCATCTTTCTGAGAAGAATAATAATGTTGATGGTATTTTTCGTACCTTAAATTCTTTAGGCATAGCCGTAGAATAAGGGTAAAAATAATATTTTATACAATTTGTCGAATATACATATACATATAACCATATTAAATGTATGTTCACAACAGTTTGAGGAAAACGTGCACGGCAAAATACATATTTTTCGAGATCTGTTTGTTAAA